TTTATATTATTTTATTAAAAATATTTTAATACATTTGTAAAGAAAATTATACCGGTAATGTATAATTTAAACTATATTATATGAATTTTTTTGACATAAATACGAGCAAAAATAAAATTGAAAATAAAATTTTCAATTTAAATTATACAGGAAGAAGAAAAAGTTGCAGTTAAGGATCTAAATGAATGAATTTAAAGTTATGAGATCAATATGCTCGTGAAGTAGAAATAAAAGGACCAAATGTATTATTTTACCATGAAAGAAATTGCAGAATGATTCAGAAAAACTCTACACGGGTTGCGTGTGATACCATTTTGTTAGGTGTCAACACCATGCATCAAGAATTCAGGCAGCCCGGGTCGGGTGAAATTTCGAAGCAAAATTATTGGTACCTACGTTGTGGAGAGGACACCATGAGCAGTACCTATCTCACCCGCATGTGTACATATATTTCTTTTCAACGAAGGTAATTTTAAGGAAAAGAGGAAAGGAAATGGATCTAATTCATCACTAGCGAAAACATTTATAATTTGTATGTTAAGTGTAAATATTCAAATAATTAATAAGATTTAAATTTTTGATCAATCCAATTCAAGTATTATGATTTAAGGACAAACTATTAAACTCAAATGGTTAGTTTATCTCACCCACATGTTTAGGATTAAAAACTATGATTTCTTGCTAGCAATGTAATTAATATGGTTATTAGTATTATACGCTAGCACGTAATTGTGGTGCGATGTTAAGAATATCATTGCAAATTTTCCTTAAAATAATTCTACACTAACATAAAATCATATGAAGTTAAATTTAATTTTGTAATAATTTATTTTAAACATAATATTAATTGATAAGTAAATTTTAAATAAATTAAATTTTTTTTAAAAAGTAATTAAATTATATGAGAGAATTTTTATTTGAATTTATTCAATTGCTTTAGAAGTGGAGAACTATTTATGAGCTTTCTAAGATTGGAGTATGTAAAAAAAAATAAAAATAAAAATTATATGAAAATTTTAGATTTATATTGATAGAAACTTTAGATCAAATCACAGCCATTTAAATTCCAACAATAAACACAGGCTAGTAAATTTTTACATTTTATATATTCTCCAGTAAAAGATTTTGATTTTATAGTCTGAATTGAGTTGAGAAAAAATCCTAATTCTTTCCGATTAAAAGAGCCTTTATGATGCTGTTACTCATCCCCTCAGCCATTGGAAACATATGACCAGCACCTGGAAGCTCATGGTACTGAATCGACGGAAGTTTTTGGACAATGTAGCGTTGCATCGTAACCGGAACAAACCTATCTTCATCTCCTTGCCACAGCTGCACTGACCCCTCTACGTTCGGAAACTTCTCCAGGTCCGTGGGATTAAACCCCCAGCTCTGAGAGACAACTATTAGGTCCCTGTGGAGGGACTCATAATCTCCTTGCTGTGTTGCATATGCCTGAGGCAGAAATAGCACTAGAATTAGCAAAATTTGATAATTATAGTAGCAAAAATGCATAAACCATTGGATGACTGCAGTCCCCGGATGTTTGCTGCTTTGTAGTATGGAGCAATACAACAAAACCAGGTAGAGAAAAAAAAATAAAAAATAAAAAATAAAAAATAAGTAAGGTTAAATCTACAATTTGGTCCCTCAACTATTGTATGGACATCTGATTTAGTCCTTAAACTAAAAAAAATCATTGATTTGGTTCTTCTTATTTATCAATTTAACCATAAGTTAATCCTTCTGTACAAAAGTAGATAACATTTTTTGTTATTAATGTAGCTTGTAACAGTTAAGTAATGATATTTTATCATTAAATAACAGATACATCAACTATTTTTTAATAGAAAAACTAATTTATGATCAAATTAATAAACAGTAGAGACTAAATTAAGAGGTTTGTACAATAGTTAAAAAATTAAATTGAAGATTTTTTTAGTTTAGGGATCAAGTAAGAAGTCTTTATAATAGTTGAGGGACTAAATTAGGGATTTAACCAATAAATAAACAGTGAATCCAATATTTTAGAGAAGTGCCTACGCTATGATTTACTGCAGCTTTGTTCACAAGTTCTAAGTCCTGCTTAGAAAAAATATCAGGTATCCCTGCTATAGCACTCAATGGTGGAAACAATTTCTGAGTGTTCCACCAGTAGGTTAGCCAGGGGACATAGTGAGCAACGCGGAATGCCCAACGGTCCTGGGGCAACCGTTGATGCAAGGCTTCTTTAGTTACGTTTGCCGGAAACCCAGACCAAAAGTAGCTAATAGTCGGAGCTAATAGTGCTGCTCCATATAGCCTGCAAGGACAAGAGAAGAAAAAACACATGTTAAAGCATCCAACCTAAATCCTTAAACTTTATTAATGCGATATGCGAAACAATACCTGTGAGGGATATACTTGAGGCAACTCCAAGCCCCCATACCACCCATGGAAAAGCCAATGACATAGAATTTGGATCCTAATCCCAATTGATCAGCAAGCTCTTCTATATCTAAAGCCATGCTCTTTACCGTTCGTTTTGGATTTGGATCACTTTCTCCATAACCTGGTCTGTCAAATGACACAATGTAGATCCCTAATTCATTGAAAATTTCCTGGAAAAGAGTGCATAGTCTTGTCAATATTAAATCATGACATCCAACATAAAATCAACTGACAACCACATAAAAATCTCCAACTTATTAATCTGTAGATTCTGTACTCACCAGCACTAATCTTCAATTTAAGTCTCTTCAAGATAAAAAATTCAGACATCCATGAAACTAAACATTCTAACTTCAATTGTATGTGCACAAAAATAGTAATTTGAATTGACAGTGGAGAGAATTGAAGTGATGAATAAATACCGGTGATAGATAGTTGGCAACGACTGCATCATGCCTCGAAGAAGAAAAGCCATGGACATAGACAATTTTGAACTTGGCTACATCTCTTGGGACACCATGTTCTTTGTAGGCCAAGTACCTCCCATCCCTAAGCTTTATTCTTGGTGCTGTAATAGGAGGGCCACCTGGGGAGCCACATTTTTTAGGTGCAGGAGGTCGAATGTCTTGATAACCCCATGCCAACATCACCATAAAGAAAACCACCACCATCTCCTTAAACATCCCTGAAAATTTTCAAGCCTCTTAATGCAATTGAATTGTAGGAAACCAGAAAGAAAATCATTGAAATTTCAAGTTTAAACATTAAAAGTTTTCTTACATATGGACAGGATTTTGGATAAAAAAACTCCATAAAAGAAACAAATAGTTTTGAAAAAAAGCAGAAAAATTAGGGACTCACCTGAAGGAAGCTTGAAAGAAGTGTTTTGCTTGTCTGTTTTGGTGTGAGCTCTTGCCGATGCTGCTGCTAAGTTTGTGTTGGTTGCTGAAGCCATTTTTTTAAGTCTGAACAATCTGAAAAAGCAGGGGTCAAATCGAAGTTTTATACATGGCTGGAAACAGACGGGAAAGGGAAGCTGAATGTAGTAAGGAATTATTTTCTGATTCTTAAAATCCGGATGAATTAAAGAAGGATTTTTTTAGCTTCAGGTTCAATGGTTCATAATCCTATTAAGAATGAGTTTTTAGGTTGCATGGCTTCTTCTGATTTTTCAATTCCGGATGAATTAAAGAAGGATTTTTCTAATTACAGTTAAAAATCCCATTAAGTGCGGTTTAATACAACAGTTTAGAAATAATGGTTAGTAATTTTGTTTAAATAATTAAAAATGAGTATTTGATAAATTTATTTATTTTAAAATTATTATAAATTAAGTGTTTGGTAAAATTTTTTATTAAGTAGTTTAAAACTAAAAGAAAGCGG